GGCTTCGCCTCGGTCCATCCCCCCCACACCCCTCCCACCGTGAATGGCCAAGGCGCGGGGCCGCCGCCACAGGAATCCTCCCACCCCCGACTCCTCAGACGCGGAGGGAGCGTTTCCAAGCGAACTTGTCCGCTCCTGGCCATGGCGCCGCCGGCTTCTAAGGCATCGCCGGTCCCCTGTGCTCGGGGCGTGGGGTTGGCCGTCTTCTTTCTGCTGCTTGCCTCGGTCGAGGGAGACGGTGAGTCTTTCTTTCGCGGCTGCTTCTCGAGCCACCTCGAGCGTCGGATGTCATGCAAGAAAAGTTGAAAGAAAATTATACTTGGATGTATGTCTATGGGGTTGGGGGAGGCGGTATTTTAAAAAAAACACTGGAATTCAGAATTTTCACGTCGTCTGAGCAGCTGGGCCGACAGTGGGAATCGATTTCGTTAAAGAAGGTGGCCGATTATTTTCCTAATACGAAGGATGTGTTTCTTTTCATTGTTTGGGGGAAATCTGTAACCTTACGAAGTAAAACCAGACCATGTTTAACGTAACGGGTCATTTTTGTCCCGACACGTTTCTGCCCACAAGTCTGTTAATTCGCATTTTTCCCGTTCTTGGTCTGAAAGCAGCAGGACATACCTGTGTGTGTGTGTGTGCACATACACTGTAGAGGCACAAATTTTGTAAGAACTCCTCACTCCCACACACATACAAATCATTAGGTAATACTACAGAGAAACAATGGTGCCGGGGAGTTTAACTTAATTTGAATATCAACATGCCCTTACGTAAGGCGGCCTTTCCCCAGTGTGCTGCCTTGCAGGTGCATTGGACTACACCTTTCATCATACACAGCCAGCATGAGAGTTGTAGTCCAGCATGTCTGGAAAGTGCCAGGTGGAGAAAGTCGATGTAAGGCTTGAATAATACAGCTAGATGTCAATTCCCTGTTCCCTGTTCTTTGCTATGCTGGAAGGGGTGTGGCAGGCTTCATCCCAGACACAGCATGTTGGCAGCCTAAGCCACACACGTGTGGCTGATTTTGATTTTTTATTTCTGCTGAGATTTGAAATAGCAAAGAGGGGGGGACAGTGAGTGGTAGTAGCAGTAGTAGCAGCCATTAATTCATTTTTCCCACTCCTGCATACCTCTTTTAATGGTCAAGGCAAGCATATTTTTAACCTTCAAACTGCCCAAGGAGTGTATTTTTTAGTAGTTGTGAAATATAGCAAGAGGGGTGATAAGGAAAGAGGGTCCCATAAAAACCAAGCAGAGATAATTAGTGAAAGCACTTCACTAGGAGGATAAGTGAATTCTGTGTTTAATTTACACATAGGTTTGGTTAAGATCTCAGTGTTCTGTTGCAGCCTTAATTTGTTTGTTTGTTTGGGAATAATTTCAAATAAAACATAATTTGGAATACAAAAGTAAGGCCCAATATCCCTTAGCTGGAGAGTCCCATTGAGTTTTGAAAAGCTGGCATGCTTGGGAGTCTGCTATAATTTTTTTGACTTCCCTGAGTGTGTGTCAGTATACCACATATACTTCTACTTGATGGAATGCAGGGAAATGTGCGATGGCTTACACAGTAATTTCTAGATTAAAAATCCTAGGTTGTATAGAATAGTGTGAGCATGCTTGGGATAAAACCGGCCTATGATTATGCTTGTGGCAGATTAGTCAAAATGTGCCAAAACTAACTGGTACTGCCCCTGTTATTACCAGGGGATGTGGCATGAGTACAACAAAGGTTGGTAACCTAGTCTAAATATTCTCTGTCTTGTTAAAAAGTGTTATTAGTAAACCTCAATTAACCAAAGCCATGATGGATGACAGATGTCAATATCTGTAGGCCTATTTGGTGACAACCATGGCATATGGAAGATTGTGAATTGGAATAGAAGTGAATGGCAAAGCTAGAAACCAGGAGACTGTGAGTTCTAGACTTAGGCACAAAGCCAGCTGGGTGACCTTAGGCCAATCACTCTCTCTCAGCCCTAGGAAGGAGACAATGGCAAACCACTTCTGAAAAAAAATCTTGCCAAGAAAACTGCAGAGACTTGTCCAGACAATTGCCAGGAGTCAAAAACTGACTTGAAGGCACCCTCACAAATGGCAAATAGCATGCATTAAAGAATTAAATGAAAAAAAAAATTGTAAGGCTGTGAAACTAAAGAAAAAGGCCAAGAATATAATAGAACTAAATAAAGGGTAGATGATCTAATCTTATAGAATGGATCTTTATTTTTTTTAATTATTAATGTTTGCTTTTAACCTTCTGTAAGGCAAGAAAAAAACAAAACTACAACATTCAACAATATATGTCAACATTTAATCACTAGATTTATCAAAACAAGGATCATTATTGTTAGCATAAATTATGTGATCTTTCCAGATCTGATAACAGTGTGAGTCATCCATCTGTGAAGTCTGTCTTCAAATTTTATCAGTAAGTTTTACAAAGACAGCAATTGACTGTAACTTAGCATATCAATTGTTTAATGATAAGTTATCTAAAATTTCAATTTTTGAGCAATTATGTAGCAGGAGTAAAAATAAAATAAATTCTTTCTTGTTTAATTTAGAGTTACCTCCCTCAAAAATATATAATAGCCCCAACTCTGGAACACATGTTACTTTTTGTTTAGTTATTATTCTAACTCCTTTTAATATTTCCTTCCAATAAGGCTCAACCTTTTCACAAGTCCTCCAACATTTTGATGAGTAATTATGAAATATTTCTGCTATTGTAGTTGGGGTTAAATGCCAGCAATGTAATATTTTTCACTGCATCTCCTGTATAAAAGCTGACAGAAAACCATCTGATTTCCAAGTATTTGTCACTTCATTTCTTCCATTTGTTTTCCTAAATCTGTGTCCCAAACTTACTTTAAACCTACGCAGAAGTCTCCCACCTCCAATTTTAATAATAACCCATGCGCTTTTGAGATAGTTCTTTTGGGTTGGGAAGGGTAAACAATGATTAATTTTTCAAAAGCAGTTAAACGATGAAATGCCGACACCTTTGTATCCTGCTTATTCAACAGGGATTTAAGTTATTTGAATTACCAAGACTTACTTTTGTATTTGTAACTGAATCTCTTCTTTATCACAATGGTTTATTACTGTGGAAGTCTCTTATTTTATTGCAAATGAGATCTCTCTATGACTTCAGTTGTACTAACCATTCTTGATTAAAGAATCCTGGGTATACCTTTAAAGGTGTGTGTGTTGGGGGGGTAACCCTCTATCTAGGCTGCATATCTTTTTTCCAAATTTGAAGTGTAGCTTTTATGAACATATTATTTATATTACCTATTTCTATAAAATCTTTTGGAAGAAAAAACATTTGGCTTATAGATCTATCTGCCTCCTGTTTGTTCTCTAGCTATATCAATTATTTTGTTGGATCTTCCAATATAACGGAATAATATGACTCATATGTGCTGACTGACAGTATAATTTAAAAAATGGAACTCCCCACCTCCCTATTTCTGGGTCTGTGCGTGATCTTGTATGATATTTCTATACTCGCTTAATTTTTTAGTATTGAAACAAACATTTTACTTTTTCTTTGCCATAGTGTTAATCTTTTATCTAGCACTTCTGGAAGAATTTGAAATTTTTAAAAAGTTGAAAAAAACCATTTTAACTACCACCGTTCAACTCTGTATATTTAAATGTTTTTTATTCCAGATTTTCATTGAAAAAAAAACTCCTCCACATTGGGGTAACATTTTTAAGAAATAGTTTATTTTTTTGGTGATATTAATCCTTAGATATTTGACAGATTTGTATTCCATTAGTATATTTAAATATTAGATTCCCTCTTTGTATTTTTGGAAATATATATATTTTAGAAATGGTCCTTCCATAGAATCAAAAGCTTTAAAAACATCTAATGAGCATACTGATAGAGAATTTTAAATGTAAAAGTATGAATCATCTTTAGCAATTTTCTGATGGGGCTAAATATTTTTCTTTTTGAAATGAAACCTGATTAATTGGAATGTATACTTTTTTGTATAATTAGCTTGAGTCAATTGGTTAACAATTTAGTATATCATTTGTAATCAAAATTAAGTAGGGAAATAGGGTGGTAAGCATTGGATACAGCATCCCCTCCACCAAGTTGTTTCTTTCATGGTGCTAAATGGAGGTGGAATCACCTGGTGTCCAGCTTTCCATGTCTATTCTTCTGCTGCTATGTACATAAATGTGTTACAGCTGTATTAATCAAAGGCAACTCTTTGCAACTGTTCATGCTAATTATCACTGTATCATTCCCAGAGATTCTAGGAAGTCCAGTGCTCTTGATACAGTTAGAGAGATATAAAACTAAATTCTTGCCTGTTATGTATGTCTTATTTACTCCCTACTTTCACCTTTTATCCTATGTTGCCAGTTAACTGTTTTGTTGTTTGCTGATATTTGGTAAATAAATAATGCTTATTTGTTGTTTAATAAATAAACATCAAGCTACATTTTTGGTAGCTGAACTGAATGGTGTGTATGTTTGATCTGATCTGGATACAAGGATTGACTGGGAGTGTGCTGGATACCAACTAAATTGGAAATGACCCACAGTTATTTTCCAACAGTAAGAAGATACTTTTAGTGGATCTTTACCTGGTTTACAGTTATTTTAGAATTGTGCCAGGATAAGGGAAGAAGATCACCCTGATACAGTGCATTGTTTAATGACAAAAAATCTAATATAATGTCTTTGAAAGTCTTATAGAATTCACTAATTATCCCATCTGTACCTGGATATTTTCCATTTTTAATATTTTTTAAAACCTCATCAACCTTTGAGAACAGAAAATCCAAATATTCAGCATCCATTCAGGATAACGTATCTAAATACTTAGTAATATTTTCCATTGCCAGGCTGTGACAGGTATATATCTTTCCTTTGGTTTTTAAAGCTTATTTTCTTAAAGAAAATTGCCATAACACTCAGAGTGTAACGAATATAATGATTCCACATAAAAAATGTTTACCAGTGTCAATGGTCTAATTTTAATGAGAGAAATTGCTACTTAGAAAAAAGGTCAGTGCTGAAAATACAAAAAAATTCTCCATTTTTACCACTTCTTACTTTCAAGCATTGGAGAGTATGAAATGATCTGTTAACGGCTACATCTAGAAATAAAGAAAATGTGTTTATATTTTGGAATGCATTTGTGATCTTCATATTGCAGTCAAGAGGAAGAACTTCTGCCTAGTCCAGCCCACATCCTATTAGACTGCTCAGATGTACTGCACTATACAGTAGATCCAATAAACCTTATCCAGCATCTGCAGGACATTAGAATGGGGAAGGTTGGACCATTCCCATATGAAGCTATGGAGACACCTTAATATTTAAAAGTTAACCCTAATCCTTTTAAAGTAACCCCACCATTAGTGATAGGGGGAAGTGATGGGGTAAAGACTGTGCCCTTTCATTGTGCTTTCCTGTTTATTATAAAATGTCCTTCCCATAAATATTTAATTAGTACCTGGTCCACTAAGGTTAAGGATGCTTAAATGCCTGACTTTTTAGAGTTAAAAAAAAATTTTTTTTTTTATGGACACTGTGTGTGCTTCATTTATAATGTTAATTATTTTATATCTATGAAGAATTGAAAAGCAAGATGATATTTTAAAAAGTAATGAATAATGGAATCAATATTCTCAATGTCAGATGAAATTTCATTTTGTATTTTTGAGTACTTATAATTGAGTATATATGTATAAGGAAAATAAATACATGCAAAATCAAAACATCAGCAATTCACAAACAACAGCTATCTTTTGGCTTGGAAACTTTGCTTTTTTCCCATTTTACAGAAAGAAGCTCAATCATGTATAATGCAGGTAGTCCTTGGGTTACAACGGCAATTGGGACCAGAATTTCTGTCACTAAGGAACGTGGTTGTAAAGTGCAATGTCATGTGACCACATTGCTTAGCGACGGCTATCCTGGCAGTCCCGGTTGCCCTTGTAACCCCAGGACCACATGGGTCATTAAGCGGGAAGAGGTGGGAGTCCCAGGCAAGCTGGCTGGGTGAGAGCTGCGGGTGAGAAGTATAGGTGGGGGAGTGGGTACCACAGGCGGGCACTAGGGAGCCCAGGCAGATGCTGCAGGCAAGGGGTGGGTGCTGTGGGTGGGGGTGGGGTTCGTAGGCATGTGGGCAGTTGTAGATGCAGGCCAGCCCGAATTTTGATCATGTGACCGTGGGGGTGCTGCGATGGCTGGACCTTCAAGGACTGGTTGTAATTCCGTTTTTTCAGTCCTGCCATAACTTTGAACGGTTGCTGAACAAATGGATGTAACCCAGGACTACCTATATATTGAAACAGTGTTTCAGCCTTTGCAGCCTGTATGCATATATGCACACATGCATATACAGTATATTACCATAATCTAATCTTTTAAAATGTGACAAGGTGCAACAAGCACAATGTACCTACAACTAACATGGGATTTAATTCCTAAAATAATACATGCATAGGATTACAGCTTCATGTAGTAATTCTTCCAAAACAGACAAGTACGGATACACTTTAGTAAACCTAGGTAATCTGCTGGTAACAACATCAGCTCTCAGCTTGATGGAACCTAATCAGCTATGCATTTTATACAGCTTGTTTGGTACCTCTTGCCTTGTAGGAAAGTTATTTGTCCTTGGACCCAGGAACAGCTCCCAGAATCTGGATTTAGCAATGGCTCAGCAGTTATGTGCTACTGTAGGAGCTCATTTAGCCAGCGCAGAAGAACTGAGAAGAGCTGTCAGGGATTGTTCCTTTGCTGTGTGCACCAGTGGTTGGCTAGCTGATGGCTCTATTGGGTAAGGAAAAAAGAAAATGTTTCTTAAAAAGGTAATTCAAATGATACAAACAGCCTCATCTAGGTAGCACTATTTGATACACCTCTGGCCCACTGACTGCATGTAACCACTAAACAGCTAACAGCTTTTTCTGTGGTCTACTCTGGGAGCTCGAAACTTGCTTCTCCCTGGCTCAGTTTCCTCTGTGATCCCAATGCAGCCAAAATCACTGTTTCCCACTGCCAGGAGTACCATGAAACAGTGGATTTAGCTGCATCAAATGGCTGGAAAGAAGACTTTAAAAACTGAAAGGATAAAATACTTGAAAGATGTTACATGGAAGAAGTTCAGCACTTCTTCTCTCTTATCCTAGAGTGGAGGGAAAGGGTTTATGTTACTGGACTGCAGATATTACAGAGTGTTGGGCAAAACTTCCTAACATTAATTGCAGTTATATAGTGGAGTCAGCTCATGAGTGTTATCTAGCTAGTTCAGTCTGTTTTGTGTGTACTTGTTAATATTTTTCTGTTACATCTCATAATTTGTTATTCCACATTAAATTGAATATAATATGCAATTGTTGAAATTGTACAATTGAAGATGGATAGGCAGTTACAGGAAGACCTTGGGAAGGGATGGATAGAAGGGGCCATGCTAGAAGGGAGATGCTAGGAAGATGGGGGTATATTTGGACCAATTGTTGCCTAGTTTAGATAACATCTTTAAGCCAGTTACCCAAAGAAATGATGACCCTCCTTCATGGGATATGTTCAAATCGGGACTCAGTAGCCTTCTGCCTGGGGTATTTTAACTTGGATTTCTGCACTGAACAGGGGGCTGGACTTGATGGCCTTAATGGCCCCTTCTAGCACTATTATTTTATGATTCTACCAAGGAAGGTGGTGAGTTTCTCTTCATTACATGCATTCAGAAGTCCCATCCCAAGATTCCTATCCTTCTATCATATTTCTCTTAGTCTGCTACACATAGCTATTTAGTTTGCTAAGAGGAATGCAATCCTTACTGGTGAAGAATGGTCTGAACTTTTCCAACTTATACATAATATATTTGTGGTGGGAGCACATATGTATATGTGCATGTACTTGTGCTTGTATACTGCAAACTCAGTTGGATAAACAGAAATGTCACTCACCCTGGTCTAATATCATTGCTAAGAGATTGATTATAAAGAGAGCATTTTATAATTGAAGCATAGGTGGCACCTTCTGAAATTCTGTCTATCCTTAATTAGTACAAAGTTTGGCTTCTTCCCTTGTATGTATTCTTTGATCTTCTGACATTCAACATTCTAGGCTGACATTATGGATTCTGATAAGTTGTTTTGACTTTTCCAAACAATATGGAGCATGTTTTAGGTAACATTATTCCATGTTCCATACTTCCACACAAGCTGGAACCAATTCTGATATGAAACCCCAGAGAAGCAATATGCTCTTAATTTGTACATAATCATTTAGATCCAATACTACAAGAAGGCAAAATATTGTTGTGTACTTATTGCACTAATATTGCAAAATTCTTACTTTTGCTGTAATTTACATCTCAGTTGCACTGTCAGTATCACTGAGGAGAATGTCTTTTTCAAATAGCCATCTCCTAAATATTTTGTTTCTGTCAGAACTCTGATCTGAAAGAAAAACTCCATTGCAACATAAGTCAGTTTGCCCATTCTGTTCCATCAGTGTTTTGCTGGACCTTTAACTGTTGAATTGCATTTAAATACATTTCTTGGGAATTGAGATCTGCCAAAGAAAAGAAATATGGGGGAACCAAATGTCAAATCTTATAGGAAACTCTTCTAAATGCTGTCTGGAGAAAGTCAGGGGCAAAACAAGTCATGACAGAGTAGCTATACATATTTTATCCATGTCTGTTCTGGCTCTGTATAAAATGGGTCATCTTCTTTTTTTTCTTTTTCTTTTAAAGAAATGGGGGTTGGGAAAAGAGTAAAAACCATTGAAATTTGTTGAACACTGTTATTTGAGCAATTTCATCACAGCCTGGCTGCAGTCAGAGAAAATTAAATCAACAGTGTGTAATAAAAGATGATATGGGAGGAGATCAAATTTGCGCTCCTCTCTAGCATGCTCTTAAGCATCTAACCAATTGTTTCCCTTGCCTGATTTTCATTTTATATGTGACACCTGGATGGATACCTTTGTTAAACCTGCTAAAACCTAATTTGAACTTCATTCAGTATTATAGCATAAAATTGCAAAAGAAGCAACAGATCTCTCATGAGTAGGGTTCAGAAGCATAGGCAACAAGCCATCTATTTAATGTTCAGCATATGCACAAGCTCATGCAAACAGTTTGAAGAAGCCCAGTGTCTCTACCATAGCAATCATATGTGATGTAAGGCAAATAATGGGAAAACTTGCCATTATTTGCGTAAGAGATATTGAGATGAGAAACATATGAAACATGGAACAATTAGGAAAACCACAGACATATCAAATGCTAAATCAGATAAAATCTAACAGTACTTTTAAAAATGTGGATTTGAACCATGTGCAACAGAACCACAATGGCCTTGGATTGTTTTCTGATGTCTTCACAAGATGAACCAAAGTGGCCTCCGATTAAAATTCCCATCAGCACTTTATCATTAGTAATTAACATGTCATATATCCTCAGCATGATGGCACTAATTTAAGTCAGAAAAGATCCTAAAATAAGCAAACAGAAATAACCAAGTTATTATTGGTTAAATGGTTAAAAAATTACTTGTTTGACTTACTTTTCATCTCAAGTATTGATAGAATTTTTGCATGATGGAGTTAAATGGAATAATACCATTTTGGTGATTAA